ATTATAGCGGTTTTATAACCGTGCCTTTTATAATAGTTATAAATTTTGGTCACAGATATGACACCCGGATCTTCAAATGATTTATATGTTTTATTGGTATTTTTCGTGTACCAATCGAGAATTCTACCAGCATACGGTGAGATTATCGTTACACCAGCTTCTGCACATGCAGCGGCCTATGTAGAATAAGTTTTTGAGAATGAGTTAACGTTTAATAAAATTGAGAAAAAGAGTTAACGTTTAATAAAATTGAGAAAAAGATATAGATTTTTAAAATAGTATACCTGAACAAAAGAAAAAATCAAAGTCATATTGCATAGGATTCCTTCCTTTTCAAGTATCTTTGCGGCCTGAATTCCTTCCCAATTTGAGGGAATCTTTATCATTACTCGAGATTTATCAATTCCACTTTCTTTGAAAAGTGAAATAATGTGCCTAGCCTTGGCTATCGTTGCTTCGGTATCAAAAGAAAATTTTGCATCTACCTCGACAGATACTCGACCTGGGACAAGCTTAAGAATTTCTATAGCAAAGTTTACCAGCTATATAAATGTATAAATTGAATATATTGAATTTTAGTGAATTTAATAAGTGTTTTTTTTTTTTTAAATATATAAAGGTAAAAACAGGTCACCAATTTATCAGCGGCTAATTCCGTCATTTTCTCAACGGAACTAATAATGAATAGTATTAGTCAGATTACATAATAATAAATATTATTATTAACTATTAATATTTATAATAAATGATTATTACTTTTCTTTACTCCTTGCATATTCAATGGCGGAATTAATTAAGTAATCATAATGAGGATTTTTAGCAGCCTCTAAAATTAACGAGGGATTTGTAGTTGCGTCTTGTGGATGATATAGCATCATTGCTGTTTTAAACAAATTAGCCAGAAAAGGAATTAATATTATTGGTTAATGTAATACGGTAAATTTTGAGGCATAATCTTTTTAGACTTAATATAATAAGATTTATGTTAGAGTTGTTAATGTAAATAAGAATGGAATATAAGTGGGTGATGTTTTTAGTAAGTTTATATAAAATCTACCTAAAAATTCTAATTTTACTGTATTAAGAACATTTCAACTTTAATTCCGTTCACACTTAAAAATATCTAATTTTAAATATCACTCATTATGATTGGTTAAGGTTGATGATACTCACACTCAAAATCACCAGAATCAGCAACGACAGTAGTCCATTGTTTTAGTTGATCAAGAGCTGAAATCATGATTCAAGAATTTTTTTAACGGATATTTCAGAAATATTGTAGAGGATATTTTAGAAACGTAAAATTCGCCTCATTTATATAAATTTTAGTCGATGTTATTACCGAATTATCGGGTTTAATCTCTTTTTCGATTTTTAACAGCTGCACTACCTTGTTGTTTATTATAATTTTTATTGTCAATACTTAAGGTTCGGGATAAAAATTAAGATAAGATTAGAAGCTATAGACTAAAAATTAAAGCTAAAAATAAAATTGGGGTAAAGTTTTTATTATAATTTTATTGTCAATACTTAAGTTAGGGATAAAGATTAAGATAAAATTAGAAGCTATAGACTAAAAATTAAAGCTAAAATGAAATTTGGGCAAAGTTTTTGGGCTGCTGAACATTTTTACTTAATACATCCGGCTTTGGTTATTTAGACAGTTTTGAAGAAATAGCAACTGTATTATTAAACACCACTAACAATGCCGAAAGTGATTGATGTGATGTGTCACATATGCACGTACGCACGTTACCCAAACTATTTGGAACGTCCCAACTATGTATCGCATACTTTACATGTACGGCGGAATAACCAAATATTTCACATCATATTTCGGAAATCGTATGATGCTATTCATCACATAGTTAATAATATCGCATCGAGTATTTACATCCTTATTGTTATTTCTGAAATCGTATGATGCTATTCATCACATAGATTGGGACGTCCCAAATAGTTTGGGTAACATCGCTAACGTACGTACGTACGTACGGTGCAGGAAATCTAAAAACCTCAATCATTTTATCTAGAACAAATAGCGTCCAGCGCATTGAAGATAAGCTAAATTTAGTAGCGATTTATTTTAAGTTTCGGCCGTAAGCATAAACAGCATATATTAAGTACATATTATTTATAGTATATTATTTCTATGCCCATCACTCTATTTAGATTGATAATTTAAGAAATTTATTTCAATCAGCTACTAGTTTATGCATCATCTTAACATGGAGATTGGTAATTTAAGAAATTTATTTCAATGAGCTACTAGTTTATGCATCATCTTAACATGGAGATTGGTAATTTAAGAAATTTATTTCAATGAGCCATTAATTTATGCATTATCTTATCATGGAAATTGAGGCTTCTAAATTTTCTGTACCGTACGTACGTACGTATGTTTGTTCTTAGTGTATTATTTCACGCAGAGATTAGAATTCAGCATTTTATAGTTTCAATTTGTTAAGATTACGCATTATCTTTACGTTAATTCCCGAAACGCTTATTTGTACAAGCATAAAAAGGGATATATGTATACTTTTCTTTTTTTTTTATTTTATTGCCTTTTTTATCAAATTATTTCCCTTTTAGAATTCAATATAGTTTTAAAAGTGAAAATCCTTACCATAGGTATGTTATTGTCCATGTAATTGGATAATACGTACTGTACGTAACTGATTTATTTACAGGTTCTTAATATACTTCTATTCTATTTTTTTTTCAAATTAAATTTACGCATTTTATAAAGTATAGCTTTACTGCAATCACAAGACTTTTTTCATTTTTCTTTTAGATGTCAACGATTATGCCTTGCGCGTCGATGGTTGATCCCAATATAAATAAGAAAATAACTAGATATGGCAATAAGAAAACTATGTATCGGGATACAATTATAGAATAGATGTATAAGTGGAAAGACAAAGGATTCGGTCATACGGTTGACGGTTTGAAGAACAAAACTTGTGGATCATCGTGGCGCAGAATCGAAAAATCAGGTGACGATAGTAATAGTCTGGAACATGGTCTGGAAATTTAAGTCTTTGATTATTTTTTTTTCTAATGATAAGACTTTATTTTTCAATTAAATAACGATCATAAAAGCAATATTTAACGCAATTTGCAATGTATATATACAACACATAGAAATAATACAAATAAATTTGAAATTTGAAATTCTCAAAATATAACTCTAATTCCTGTTTAACAATTTGAGTTGTTTATTTTTTGTGACGTTCTTCAATAAATTATATACAGTTGACTTTTATATAATGAACTCAAAATTTTGGAATTTCATAATAATTAGGTACAAAAAGTGCCTTGTGTTTTTAATAAATATAGTAATTTTCTATAACGAACGTTTTTTTCTTCCAAAATCTTAATTCTTTAAAGAAAGAGTTGACTTTATTCTTTTTGTGGCTAATCCTTTATTATACGTCTTCATCTTAGATAGATTAATATTTTCTTTTTGTAACGAATGTTTTTTAAATTAATGCGCTGAACTCTAATTTTTGACCTACTTCGGCTGTTATGAGGAATCTTGTTGAAATAGATAAGGCACTAACTTGCACACCGTTAGATATTTAGATTTTTCATATCTTTTTTCGAAATATTCCATGCTGCTAAGAAGTTAGTTAACATCACCAAAAAACTTCCAAAGGCATTAAATGCTTATTTGGATTTATCGCTATGTAATTATTAAGTAAATTTTGAAGAGTTAATAAATTTGTAACCACGGTTATTGTGACCATAACTAAGATCAGGTGTAACATGAAATCAAAACAAAATCTTCTCTTTAAAAAAATCATTAATAATTCAAAATTTTGATTATAAACCCATCTTTTACGTTCTAACAAATAAAATTCCTTGCAAATTTTGATATAACCTATGCCTTCCTTAACCCAAGCCTTACCCTAACTCTAACCTTAACCGTGAAGTTTTATTTTTATAAAAAAAAATTGTTTTGATAGTCACGTTATACCCGATCTTAGTTACGTTACAAATTCATTAATTCAATTTTGAATGATTATGAATAAAATACAAATCAATTTCAATGTCTTCTTTAAACGGCTGACATTGCTTATTTCCATATTTAGTTATTGTAATTTTCAACTTGATACTTATTAGCTGAAACGCCATAAGTAGGTTCGATATATTCAGTTTATTTAGGTTTTAATTTGATGGTTTCTTGTAATTAACGAAATAACAGCATCTGTAACAAGTTTTGCATCTTTCTCTTTCTCTCTCTCTCTTTTTTTTTTTTGCAGGAAGGAAAAACAAACGAAAAATATTATGCCAAGCTGACGCTAACGACAATATAGATTAACTTTTATGTAGTGTTTAACATGATGATGCAAATACATAATTTTGGTTTCTTGTTCCAAATGTTCATATCTTTCCGGATGATCATCTGATCCAAACCTGGTACACATTTTCTAGGTGTTCAATTATTCTTTGGGCAACAATTGATACTTTCTCGAATAGTTTAAAAAACTCAGTATGACGTTAAAAAAGGTAAAAAAAGATATAGAATCAAAAAGAAATATAAAAATTCCGGACCAGCCCGAATCTGAAATCTGGACAATGAACGAGAAAAAATAGCATAGAAGTATATATAAGATCCGGGAAAAAAAGAAATTTTTAATCGACGCATTATTATTCTTTTCGATTTAGCTAGATCGATGATCTTAATTATTTTTTTGAGTCCCTTGAGCCCTGTGGCACAATATAGTAGTCACTTCAACTTCATATTTCGTGGAACTCATTTTTATTATTCATATATTTCCCTTTTATTGATAAATGGTTTCACAAAATATAACGAATATAAGATGTTACTTATGCTGTATTCACGGATTTAAAGGACTCAAAAAAAAATATATATATGATCGTTGATCCAACTAATCAAAGAGCAATAAAGTTTTTTAGTCCATAAATCTGTTATATATGTTAATTTAAAATAACTATTCAAATTTGTGATTAATTTGCAAATTAAAAGTAAACCATTTTTTAGTAGTATATAATGATATTTGTAATATTCTAGAAATTTAAGATAAATTGTTAAAATTTATAAATGTTCATTTTAATCTTTATTTTAAATTTACATATTTACTCACTATAATTAAATAATAAAAGCTTTTCATTAAATAAAACTTTTTATTGTCTACTACACAAGTATAACAGATACAATCTATTAAATATATTTTACTTGGAAAGAAAAATAACGAACTTGCTCTTTCTTTTAGTTTTGCTTGGGCAACTACAATTTATAAGTTTAGATACTGCGATAAATCTTAGAATAAAGAACTCGCAACTGATATTATATTTGTAGATGTACCAAGGACCTGCACATTTGCTAACGTCCTTTTTAATGGTTCTTTTTTTTTTTTTTGACAGAATACAGATATTATGGCAAATATGCATTTATACAATAATATAAAAAAATGCATTTACGACATCTGTGCTTGGTTAAAATTCTTTAAGTTCATTAATGTTAGAGTTAGCGTTTCGTATAAAGTTAAAAGCTAAGTGGTTATGTAGTAAAATCGCACAAGGAAAACTTTTTGTTAGTGCACTAAAGGTGGTTTACTATGCAGATTTTTGGGAAAACGAACGTTTGTCTACGTTACACCTGATTCTCATAACTAAGCACAGATTTCGTAAATGCTAAACAAATTGCTTTTATTATAAATTTAGTATAGATGTAATCTTATAAGTAATATATAGTAATTTGTAAATTTTAAATATTGTACTATTTTAAATTCAGTTCCAAGTATAAGACCTAATAACTAGAGCTCCAGCCAAACGTCGCCGTTTTTCTAGTAATTAATTCTTATTCGTCATGCCAATGATTGGTTACACCCTCAAACATTCAAGTCAAATATGAATTGAAATATCGATCATGCATTAAATATCTAATCGTACGTCTAAGTATAATTTTTCTTAATAACTAAATTATTATATACACTCCCGTGACCGATCTGCAGTCTGTGTAATCATATTAATATTAACAGTTAACGTTAGATTTCATAGGAAGACATTCATATGATTGGTCAATTTTCGCAGATCTACCCGTGATTTCCCGTGATAATTAACCAATAAAATTATGATAATTAGTCGATCAAATAACGATAATATAGTATACCAGCGAAGCTTATATACTATTTTCATTATTTTTTATAAATCATATATTCAAGGAAAATCTATTTTTGATTATTACTGCCTTCGCTAGAGACGTTACTACCC